TATAAATGAAAATTTACAAAATATGCTGTGGGATTTCTGGGACATCAGTTGTCCCAATGTATGCATCATGGGAACACATGAAGAAGTAGGGAAAGAGAAAGGAATCACAAAGTTTAAGGAAATAATGATTAAAAACATCAAATCCAGAGCTGGTCATGGGTGGCTTATGCTTATAATCCTAGCTACGTAGGAGGATGAGATCTGAGGATCACAGTTTGAAGTTAGTCCTGGCAGGAAAGTCAGTAAGACTCTTATCTCCAATAAATTGCCAAAAAAAGCCAGAAGTGGAGATATGGTTCAAATGGTAGAGACTTAAGCAAAAGAAGTTCAGGGACCTCAGTGCCCAGGCCCTGAGTTCAAACTACAGGACCAGCATCAAAAAGAAAACAAATAAAAACCCCCATAGACCAGCAGAGAATGAGATGATATATTCAAAATGCTGACAGGAAAAAAAAAACCTGTGGCAATCAATTTATCCAGCAAAGCTGTCCTTCAGAAATGAAGAAAAGACATTCTCCAATAAACAAAAGCTGAGAGAGTCCATCACCACCAAACCTTCCTTATCAGAAATGCTAAAACTCTAAATAACAGATTTTGAATACTCAAAGCAATCCTGGACAAAAAGAACAATGCTGCAAGTATCAATACTTGATTTCAATAGTAACAAAAACATAGTAACAAAAACAGCATGGTACAGAATAAGAACAGACAGATGAATGGAACATAATAGAAGATCCAAAAGTAAACCTATACAGCCCAACACCCACAGCCATCTGATTTTCAACAAAGGAGAAAAGACAGTCTCTTCCTTAAATGTTGTTGAGAAAACTTGACATCCACATGTATCTAGAAAGCTAAAGCTAGAGCCATGCTTCTTGCCCTGTACTGAAATCAATTCAAAATGTATCATTTCTAAGTGTAACATATAACTAAATGTAGCATGTAACTAACTGGCACATATAACTAACAACATAGAATTAAGCCACATGTCAGTAGGCAGGATAGAGATGTCATTTATAATGTTCATGATTATAAAGTAGTTATGGGTATCTGTATTAACCTGAGAGGAATCTTCATAGATAAGATAATATAGGAAATATTAGGGAAAAGATACAAAAATAAACCAGTAGTAGATTTGCATTTATCAGTTTTGATCTATGGCTGACTAGGAAAACAAGATATAAATGAACAAAGCAACAGAATAAATAAGGAGCTCTTAATAGGAGTATTCACACACACACACACACACACACACACACACACACACACACACACACTTGTCCTATAAATACCAAATGCAAGGTGTTTTGTTAGCATAATGGTTGGTAGCACGTCAGTCACACAAATATCATTTGCATGAAGATGTAAATCATCTATACTTTTACTAATTTTTAAAATTTTCATAATTTGCTCAGAGGAGTAAGTACAAAAATCTGTCTTTCTCCCTTAATTCTGTTACTTTTTGTCTTGTGTATTTATGATTAAAAAATCATGATTTTCATTCAGCTTTTTATGTTTTCCTAGTGAATTGACATTTTTAACATAAAATTGTCCCACCTTATCTTCATATAATTTTTTGGAAGTCTTTTTATCTGATTGATATTCATAGCCAGATGATAATAATAGCCATTCTGGCTTTTTGTATTTTCCACCTATCTCCTTTCAGATGATCTGTTTTCAAATATATATAGTAGATTTCTCTTAAGTATCAGAGTCTTGAGTTATTAACCTTTCAGAATATCTGTTTTTTAAATTAGTGTCTTTTTAACATTTAGTATAATTATTGAAACTCAGCCTGCAATTTCATTTTGTTTGCTTTTTATAATGTTTTATTTCTTCATTCTTCATTTCCTGCTTTTGAGTCATTTGAATATTTTTTAGAATTTTTATTAATTTGTTTTTTAAATTTTATTTGCCAATTTTTATAGTGTTGGTGCTAGGGGTTTAGGATACATTATACTTAGTTTTCCACTGTCTACTGAGAATTAATAGAGTATTTTACCCACCTTCCTCTTTTTTTTTTTTGATACTGTGACTGTTATATACGTTGCCTACATATGGTGTAACTTTTCCCAAAACAACATAACTTTTGCTTTAAATAGATAAATATGTTAAAGAAATAAAAGTTATGAGTCATTATTTACCCAGATGCTTACTATTTCTCTGAGTTTTTTTTTATTTGTGAACATACTGTACAGAGGGGTTACAATTACATGGGCAGAATAATGTGTACATTTCTTACCAAGCATTGCAGCCTCCTCCTTTTGTTTACCCTTCACATCCCTTCCCAGCCTCCCCCCTCCCCCCCATATTTCTCTGAGTTTTATTCTTTTTGAAGATCTGAGTTTCCATCTGGCATTTATATTACTTACAATAGTCTTTCCTCACAATAATCTGCATAATTCTTTATGTATTGGCCATGTGCTTTTAGTTCACTAAATCTCTCTTCAATTGTGTCAGTTCATTAATGTTTCATTTCTAAAAGTTCTATTTTATCCTTTAATGAATGGATTTGCTGATCTGGACATAGAGCTTAACGGTGGAGCATTTGGGAGATACTGGAATTGGTCCCCACCACTGGAGGAAAAAAAAATTGACCTAGTAATTCTTTTATTGTGTCATATTGCATGCTTATATTTATGATTACATCACTTATTTCTATGAATATTGTATTGTAAACCAATTTATATTCTAAGAATTCAGATATCTGAAATCTGCTGATCTACATATTTTTCTCATGTTTCAAACAGAGTTGCTTTATTATATTTTTGATCATCTTAATAGATTCATATTGTAGATTCTAATTTGTGATGTTTCAGAACCTCTGTCAGAGGGTTTTAGTCCACATAATAATTTTTGTGTCTGCAAAAGTTAGGAGCACTGCTAGTTTGGTTCTTTTTATATCCCAACTCAATCAGAAGTTTTGGGTGCCACATCTTTACCTTGAGACTAGTTTACAGGTCAGTCTTCTACGGGTGGTTGCCTTTCAGTGTAGTTCTGTCTCTCCTGCTCCTTTTTACTTGCTACTTAGGGTTCTTTACTCTGGTTTCTACCAAGCAATTTTGCTGAGTTGGTAATCTTTCAGTAGAGGATGAAGTACCCTTGAGTATTTCCTTTCTCTTTTAGATTTTTAGATTCTCATTATATATTCAAAGTATATTTTCTAAATAGTCTGGCTGGGTACTTCTTTTGGTATTTCAGGTTCACTATACTGCCAAATGCCACTGCCAGTTTCCTCATTTTATCATTATTTCCATCAATATTTCTCACCTCACAACACCAGTATATCCTAACTTATTCCCCTTAATTTCACTTCTCCAATTTCAATTTTTCCTATATATTGTTGCCAATGATGTTAGACATGTTAACTTTGTGGTACCTGGACTTTGAGCTCAGAGCTTAGGGTTTTAGAGATGTAGATTTGTAAGTCATTGATAATATTAATGTCATGGTAAGATTTACTGAGGAGAATGGAGTAAGTAGAAACAAAAGAAGACCACAGAACGCCAACTTCAAGAGATGATAAAGATGAGTTGGAAAAGAATTGTATGAAGATCTAAGCTAAATGAGAAAACCAAGAATGAAGGAAGTTAAGGAATGGGTTTCAAGGGAGGACAATTTATAGTATTAGATGTTGCCAAAGGTTTTGGGTGATTTGAAGATGGATAATCGCTATTGCCAGAATAGTTACAGTGGAGTAGGTACTGAGTATAGTGGAGTAAGCCGATGTAGAATGGCATAAGTACACAACTGTATACTGTGCTAATTCTCTGACCTTCCTCAGTATAATTCTCTCCCATTGACAGTATAATGAACCAGTAAGTTTCCTAGTAAGACATTTTTCATCCAAAGAAATAAACATCATTTTCTCATGATCTTCTACAGCTAAGAGGAATTCAGGTACTAGTAAGATTGTAAAAAGGAGGAGATTGGGTAACAGTCATGAAAAGTCATCAGAGCATAGAAATTATACAAATGTTTCTGGCTCAGGACTTAATATTTCCTCTATTAATATTAAGCTTTGTATGTGTATTTGAATTTTTATTATTTTAGTTATTGCATTAATAAAAATATATGTAATTAGATGATAGTAATAGTATTCATTACTTATTTTCAATCCCCATCTTGTACAGTATAAAATAGAGAATAGCGAATAACTTACTTACATATTTGTTCCTAACGTCGGAAAATCTGATAGCTTGCATTTATATAAATTTTAGTGCTTGGGAAAAACACAACCTTTCATGCCAAAAACCTGTGCAAGCAATGTTTATGATATGTATTTCTCTTAAGATCTTAAACTTTGTTAAAGGTATTTGATTTAATATATATATATATATATATATCAGCTGAAAATAAACTTTCACAAAGAAAACTGTCAACATTTTACTTCAGGAAAAGGCAGTATGTTTTAGAAAGGATAGAAACGTAGTAATGTCTTCAAGATTTTAGAAATATTTATATTTTTCTTTTATGATAACCAAAAAGTAATATATATATATTTATTTATTTATTTATTTGGTAAATTATTTATGTTATCCTTTTAAGATAGCCTGGAATATTTTTTCAAAACTCACAAACATGTGACTTTTAAAATTATGGAACATTTGACTTTTTACCTTATCCCTAACTATAAAAGTTTAATCAGATAATTTGTTAGTTGATCATATATATAATTGATATATGATTGTGTATATAATCTTTTCTTATATATAGCACTATGAAGGGAAAATTATGAAAGCACATTTCCTGAGCTATCATTTTCCCATATGGATTCAGCAATATCTACTCAAAGTTATACTGATTCTATGAAATTAGACCTAAGGTCAAGAACATTTCACATATGGAAGATCCTAGCCAGCTAAATCCTTTCTGTTGGAAAATATTTTTCCTGCAGAAGAATGAAAACGGTATCAAATAAATACAGTAAACAAACAGCTCTTTCCTTTTATATAGTTTTGTTCATAACGAATCCACATTTCTTTTCTACCCCTTCTTAGGTACCAGAGATTTGAAAAGGCATTTCTCCTGGCTGTTGACATCGGTGCTCGTGACCTGTTCATGGTGAGTTGTTCCCAGACATGATTTTTGTGCCTTCAGTTCTAAGGCTGAGTAAGTTGTCAGCTTTTGTGACCATTAAAAAGGATTAGTGTCATTTGCAGCTTTAGACACATGGGGGGAAAGCATTATCCCATCCTGGCTTGCAGCTTTGCCTTCGTGAAACTGGTCAATAGCCATCGAGCATCTTTTGACTTGTTGACATTTTCCTTGCCAGGGTCCACAGAACCTTTTATGTTTTCGAAGAATTTATAATTCCTGAACTTTTCTTCTCATGTACCTTGAGGTGAAAGGATGACACCTTTCTATCTAATAGGCTTAAATGTCTTTCTAATCTATTCTCTAAGGATATACAAGTATAGAAAGCAGAACATGTGGGGAAAATGACCCACAGATCTTGAATGTGCTCAATTCTCTTAAGAATTTAGTGAGAAGTAACAAATTATGAATGTTCTTACATGTATTGAATATATATCTTTTTTTTTTTGGTCGGTCATGGGGCTTGAACTCTGGGCCTGGGCGCTGTCCCTCAGCTCTTCAGCTCAAGGCGAGCACTCTACCACTTGAGCTACAGCGCCACTTCCTCTTACATGTATTGATAAAGTATAAACAGTGCAAAGTGGAACTAGACGTTATGCATTCACATCTGTTTCAATCCTTTCATTTCTTACCTACAGAGGAGTAAAAGTGTTTAGCTCCTAACAAGTCTTTGTGCTTTGTACCAGGTTCTTATTTTATAAGATCTTGTGTCACAATGACATCAGATAAACAAAGTCAGAGTCCTTTTCTGATTTCCCAACGTATTTTTCTCCATAGCTAGTTCATTGTTATAAACAATAGAGCAAAAGCTTCTTGAAAACAATAAAAACTTGACGACTTTTTAGCCTGAATTATTTTGCAGAAATTTTTGTAGTTCAAGGCTTGGTATTTCTGAAGTTACTGTGGGTTCATCACATTAGATCACTTGTCTTTAGAATAGGTTTAATATTTAAATTCTAAATTATATATTTCATTTATATATTCTCAACTTTCATTGAACATGAGAAAAGTTTCAGTTGCTTTCAAAGCTATTAACATCTTGTTATTCATTTTTCATTTATTTATTTGATGTTTAAGAATGCATATAAGTATGAGAGAAGGTTTTATTATTTTCACCAAAAACTATACGTGCAGATTATCACAGTATCAGAAATTTAATTACAACACTTCTTAAATTTTCTTACCCATTAACTTTTCTTCCTTATCTCTATCATCTAAATTATCCTGCTTAATTACTCAATAAAGGTACATTTTCTTTATATTTCTTTTTTTTTTTTTTGCCAGTCCTGGGGCTTGAACTCTGGGCCTAGGCACTGTCCCTCAGCTCTTCAGCTCAAGGCTAGCACTCTACCACTTGAACCACAGCGCCACTTCCGGCTTTTTCTGCTTATGTGGTGCTAAGGAATCGAACCCAGGGCCTCATTCATGCAAGGCAAGCACTCTACCACTGAGCCACCTTCCCAGCCCTTCTTTCTTTTTTTCTTTCTTTCTTTCTTCTTTCTTTCTTTCTTTCTTTCTTTCTTTTTCTTTCTTTCTTTCCTTTTGTTGGTTGTGGGGCTTCAACTCTGGGCTTGAGTGCTATCCCTTGGCTCTTCAGCTCAAGGCAAGTGCTCTACCACTTGAGCTACAGCACCACTTCCATTTTTTTAGTTGTTTATTGGAGATAAGAGTCACGGACTTACCTGCCCAGGGTGGCTTTGAACCATGATTCTCAGCCTCCTGAGTAGCTAGGATTACAGGCATGAGCCACCGGCGCCTGGCTTCTTTATTTTTTTATACATATACTCCAATCTTTTCCCTAACCAAGGTAAGGACTAACAAGATTAGTATTTAAATGTTTTGTGTCTACCAGATTTTTCCCCTCAGGGTATTATATTGCTCTATAAATATAATGCTTTATTAATTAGCATAATCATCAAAGCCATCTTCTAAACTTTTTTTCATATCTGTTTAAGGACTTAGCCTGTTTTTCCTAGTACCAACATAAAGTCCCTGTGTTAGTTCCAATCTTCTTACTCTAAATAAACTTTCTACTGATCAGCTAAAATAAGAAAAGAATTACTTAATTCAAGAAGATGTAAACAGTCATAATTCAGAGTGCTGTGTCCTCATTCTTCATGTAAGACTTGACTGTAGCAAGGCCTGTTTTAAGGAAGATCAGAATGAAGAGAGCATTGGGACCTTAGCATTTTGTGGAAGTTCAAGATCCTGCTAGATACATTTGAGGCTCCATGTTGAAATTGTCCTAAAGAATTTGCTATATTTTCTTATAGAAGAAAATATACCCAGAGTTTTGTAACCTATATACAACAAAACCTTACATCTTTTGGGAAAAAAATTTATAAAATGAACAGATTATCCCTACTTACAGATGATTTTCTACCCTTACTATATCTCTTCCTGAAAGACTAAATATAATATCCAAAAGAGCACCCAAAAATTGCTTTTGGCATTAGCTTTAGTGGGTTACGTAAGACACCATAGCAAGGAGGTTGATGTGGAAAACAGAGTTGAGACAGAAGAGAGGCCACAGGTGCACAAAAAGGAGTTGAGAATTTATCTTAAAGAAAACTATAAGCTGAAAAAGTTTATAAACAAAGGAATAATAATACTTTGAACAAAGGTATATAATTTTTTGGCAAAGGACCATGCATGAATACTTTAAACTATAAAAATATAAGTATTTTAGATTTTACAAGCTACTCACTGTTGCAGCTCCTAAACACTGCATTTGTAGAGCTAAAACATCCAAGGACAATATATGTGCAAATAGTTTGGCTGTTGTTTCATTGTTTACAGACACTGATATTTAATTATCCTAAAAAATTTAAGAGTTATATGACATAATTCTTGTGATTTGTTTTTTTCCAAATTATTTGAAACTTAAAAAAAAATCTTCAGTCTTGTTTCGGTACATATTGTTTTTATTTTCATTTGTTGCTAAATATTTTCTAATTTCTCTTGTGATTGTCTTTCACACAATTGTTATGAAAAATGTCACTTAATTTTCACAAATTTGTGAATTTTCAAATTTTCTTAATATTTATTTCTAACTTGATCCTGTTCGGATGGGAAGTGATACTTTGTATTATACCTTTCTTTTTAAATTTATTGATCTGTAGTTTATGGACTAACTTATAGACGCTTGAGAAGAATGTATATGTTAGGAACAAATGTATATGTTATGATTTTTGTGATATAAATGCTTAATATCCTGTGGTATAGTCTATAGCTGTTTTCTTTGTGGTTTCTATGGATATCAGACTTCATATCCTGAAATTATAATGCTCTAGTTGGGGTTTCTATCAGCTTTACATCAGTAATAGCCAAAACTACAGCTGTTGTACAGCTGTGCTCCCACCCTCTCAGCGTTTGATGTCACAAAATTACATCATTATACAAGTCTTCAATCCGTAAAGGAATAATTTTACATATACATGCTCTAAAACAAATATGTAGTTGCAAACCAAAGTTATATTGACTGTTTAATAAGTTCTTTCTAGGACTGGGACATGGCAGTCAAGTGCTGTGTTAGCATGCTACATCTCTAGCCCTCATAAAAATGTATTAGTCTCTTAAATTGTGTATGTACAAAACAAAGGTAATATTAAAAACCGTTGTTACAAGATTTGCTTTTGTAATTGTCCATATAGTTAGTTTTATTGAGATCGTTATTTGATCATAATTGGCCTATAGTTACTATGTAACTATGTACTCTTTTACTTTAAAGAACTTATTTGCACAATTTTTAAAGATGGGCCTAGCAGTAATAAATACTTCTGCTTTTATCTGAGATGTAGAAATCTTAAGGGCCTTTAATGACTTTTTCTTTCTTTCTTTTTTTTGGTGTGGGCACTCGTGATTGAACTGAGTCTGAGCACTGTCCCTTAGGGTTTTTTTTGGGGGGGCGGGGGGAGGTGGTCTGGTCGTGGGGCCTGAACTCTGGGCCTGGGTGCTGTCCTTCAGCTCAAAGCTAGTGCTCTACCACTTGAGTCACAGTGCCACTTCCAGCTTTTTTTTTTCTGCTTATGTGGTGCTGAGGAATCAAACCCAGGGCCTCATGCATGCAAGGCAAGCTCTCTACCACTGAGCCACCTTCCCAGCCGTCCCTTAGTTTTTTTAACTGAAGGCTGTCACTCTACAATGTGAGCCTCAGCTCCATTTTCCAGGTGGGAGGTAAGAGTTTCATGGACTTGCCTGTTCAGGCTGGCTTTGAACTATGATGCTCAGATCTCAGCCTTCTGTATAGCTAGGATTACAGGTGTGAGCCATCAGCTCCTTGCTGACGTTTTTTTCTTTTAACATTTTGAACATATTTGCCAACTACCTTCTGATCTCCAGAGATTCTGATGTTTATTTTTACTCAGTCCTTTTCTATTTCCCTTGTCTTATTTTCAAAGTTGTTAAATCTCTCTTTTGCCTAGTTGGATCTTTCTTTGAAACCCTTCAGTCATTAAAAAAAAATTATGGTAGTATTCTGTTCTAGAATTTCTTTGGATGTTTCTGTTTTCTGGTCATCTTATTAATTTTTCCACTTTGTTCATTTGTATTTTCTCATCTTTTCCATATCTTCCTTTAGTTCTTTGCATATATTTTATTAAGGCAGTTGTTTTATAATGTCTTTGTCTTTGCCATCAAGTTTTTTATCCCCCCATTTGAAATGACCCATACTTACTTGAGGTTTTTTTTTCAGTATGTTTGTTGAAAACTGAATATTTGAATTTTATAATGTGACAAATGAGTTCAGATTCTCTCTTTTTCCTAGGATTTGCTATATTATGTTATTATATGTCTTAGACTTAAATAATATGTATACAAGGCTTATATAAGTAAATAATAAATAATAATAGGTAATGACTAAATAATATGTATACCTGGCTTATATACAAGGATCATGCTGAAGTAAAAGGAAGTTTTTCAGTTAGAAAAATTAAACTAGAAAGCTGGGCACCGGTGGCTCATGCCTG